GCCTGACTTGGGGAACAGGCTGGGGTGGCCGAGCCGAGGCCCCCGTGCCCCTCTGTCCGTCCCCCAGGCCTGAGGCTGGGACCTGCGCCCCCTCCTCCTCAGTCCCCACCTTAGACCCCTTTGGAGAGTTAATGTCTGTGTGAGGTGCTTAACCTATTAGCCCCGAGAACACAAAGCAATAATCTTTGTTACTGAGATGCGCGGCTGTTCGTGGTTGTTTTTTTTTTTTTTTAAATGTTTCCTAATAAAAGAGAAGCTGCAATTTATTGTTTTTTATTTTTAATTTTCTACACATTCGAGCTGAGTCATGAGAGACTTCGCTCTCCCCTCCTCCCTTCCTGTGACGCCCCAGCCCCACCCCTCTCGGCCCATCCATGGGCCCAGGGCCCTGGAACTCCGTTTTCTGATTTGTTTGGGGAATTTTTTTAAAAGATGTTACATGGTGTTTCGAAGCCAGCAAGTTACCACCCTTCGGTGTCTCTTCTCTCCACATCTGTAACTTCTTTTTCCAGGATTTATTTCCAGTTTAAAATTCCTAATAAATTATTTGAAAACGGTGCTGGGCTTGGGAGTGTTTTGTGTCTCTGTGTGCAGTCAGGTCTGGTTTGCCGATGACACCGTTTTCACGTTCTCTTGTTTTCCTCCCGGAATAATATGTGGTTCACACCTAAGGAAACGTGCCCTGGCCGGGTGGCTCAACTGGTTGGAGCATCGTCCCAGACACCGAAAGGTTTCAAGTTCGATTCCCAGTCAGGTCCCATTTCCAGGCTGTTGGTGATCCCGGGAAGCAACCAACCCACCAATGTTTCTCTCACATGGACGTTCCTCTCCCTTCATCTCTCTCTAAAAAGCAGTAAAAACCTATCTTCAGGCCCGGTCAGAGTGGTGCAGTGGTTGAGGGTCAGCCTATGAACCAGGAGGTCATGGCGTGCAGGAGGCAGCCGATTGATTATTGATTCTCTCTCATCATTGATGTTTCTATCTCTCCTTCTCCTTTCCTCTCTGAAATCATATATGTGTGTGTGTGTGTGTGTGTGTATGTATGTATGTATAAAACATCCTCAGGTGAGGATTTTTTTTTAAAAAACGTAGCTTATTTGGATATGATTTGGAAAAACTATCAAAAAGATATTTTGAGACAAAAACCTCTAAAAATGGTCTTATTTTTGTTAGGTGTGACCGTGACATTGTAATTATATTTTTTACAGGTTTCTCCTTGAAGGCTTTTTCTCTCAGATCAGAGGCAAAGTAGGGATGCCTACTCTGGCCATATATATATGAATCTGAAATCAATATATATATATTGATCTTGAGAGAGAGAGATAGAAACATCAATGATGAGAGAGAATCATTGATCGGCTGCGTCCTGCACACCCCACACTGGGGATCAAGCCCACAACCATGTGCCCTGATCGGGAATTGAACCATGACCTGGTTCATAGGTCGAAGCTCAACCACTGAGCTACACCAGCTGGGCCTGGCCACTTCTATTCAACATAGTACTGGAAGTCCTACCCAGAGCAATTAGGCAAGAAAAAAGAATGACACCATCCATATTGGAAAGGAAGAAGTAAAATTATCTGTTTGCAGATAACATGATCTTCTATGTAAAAACAAAAAGCAAAACTCCAACGATTACACACACAAACACAACTAATAAAAGAATTCATCAAAGTTGTTGGATACAAAAATCAATTGTTTCTACACATTAACAATGAAGAATCAGAGAAGTAAATTTAAAAACAATGAACTTAAGCAAGGAGGTGAAAGACTTGTACAGTGAAAACTACACAATAATGCTGGAAGAAATTACGACACAAATAAGTGGAAAGACATCCCATGTTCATGGATTGGAAGGCAATACTGTTAAGATGTCCATACTACCCAAGCGACCTGCAGATTCATCGCAATACCTATCAAAACCCAATGGCATTTCTAGCAGAAATATAAAAATTTATCCTAAAATTCATACAGAATCTCAAGAGACTCCAAACAGTCCAAACAATTTTGAAAAAGTTGGTGGTTCACACTTTCTGATTTCAAAATATGTTACAGCCCGAGCCGGTTTGGCTAAGTGGATAGAGCGTCGGCCTGCGGACTGAAAGGTCCCAGGTTCAATTCTGGTCAAGGGCACATGCCCGGGTTGCGGGCTCGATCCCCAATTTGGGGCGTGCGGGAGGCAGCTGGTCAATGAGTCTCTCTCATCATTGATGTTTCTAACTCTTGCCCTCTCCCTTCCTCTCTGAAATCAATAAAAAATAAAAATATGTTACAAAAGCTATGGTAATCAAAAGAAGGAGGGACTGGCACAGAGACACAGAGACAGACGAGCCAAGGGGATAGAAGAGAGAACCCAGAAATAAACCTTCACTAATATGGGCAAACGATCTTCGCCAAGGGTGCCAAGGATGCCGATGTGGAAAGGAAAGTCTCCAACAAATGGTATTAGGAAAACCTGATATCTACGTGCAAAAGAATGAAGGTGGGTCCTTATCTGACACCATCTACAAAAATCAGCCCAACTTGAATTTAAGACCTGGATTTAAGATCTGAAACTACAAAACTCCTGGAGAAAACATAGGGAAAGCTTCGTGGCTCTGGAGTTGGCAATAATTTCTTGGAACCAAGATAAAAAAGTACAGGCAATCACCCTAACCAGTTTGGCTCAGTGGATAGAGTGTCGGCCTGCGGACTGAAGGGTCCCAGGTTCGATTCCGGTCAAGGGCATGTGCCTTGGTTGCGGGCACATCACCAGTAGGGGGTGTGCAAGAGGCAGCTGATCGATGTTTCTCTCTCATCTATGTTTCTAACTCTCTATCCCTCTCCCTTCCTCTCTGTAAAAAATCAATAAAATATATTAAAAAAAAAAAGTACAGGCAATAGCTGGCCAGCGTGCGTCAGTGGTTGAGCGACGACCTAGGGACCAGGAGGTCATGGTTTGATTCCTGGTCAGTGCACATGACTGTGTTGTGGGCTCAATCCCCAGTAGGGAGCGTGCAGGAGGCAGCTGATCAATGATTCTCTCTCATCATTGATGTTTCTATCTCTTGCTCCCTATCCCTTCCTCTCTGAAATCAATAATGTGTGTGTGTGTGTATTTGTTTGTTTATTTATTTTTTTAAAGCACAGGCAGCAAAATAGACATATTGGGACTACTTCAACCGTGAAAACGTTTGTGCATCCAAGGACACAACAAAGTGAAAGGCAGTCTGAGGAATGGGAGAAAATATTTGCAAATTATCTGTCCGAGGAGAGGTTAACATCCAGCATATCTTTCTGGGGATGGACAAGAGAGGTAGTGAATGGATGCCGCTAGAAAAGTTAGGGAACTCATAAAATCCAGGTGCTGAGGATGGTGACTTTGGGTGTGGAAAAGGTGTAGGTGCTTTGGTTTACTGCCTCCGTTTGCTCCTCTGTGACAGCAGCGACAGCAGGCAAACCTGTGTAACGCTCTCAGTACCCAGAGGATTTGCTGCTGCTCTTGCTGCCATTATTATTATTATTATTGTCATTATTATTAAAGAGAGCCCTGGACAAAGAGGCAGGCACACACAGGTTCAATTCCTATCTCCACCCCGCTCAAGGTGCAACTTTAAGCAAGTTACTTAGGCTCTTTGGACCTGTTTTATCATCTGTAACTAGGGGAAGATGATGAAACAGTAATAGCTGTGCCAGAAGGTTAGGGCTGAAAAAACAGTGTACAGAGAGCCCGTAGCACAGTGCCAGGCACACAGAAGCGCTCACCAAAGGGTGGCTGCTTTTAGGCATTTCCTGGAAGCAGGACCGTGTCTTCCAGGGCCCGGGCCGGTGTGACCTTGCTGGGTGTGGGTGTGCGTCACCTGAAGGAGCCGAGAAGCTATCCTTAGCTGTTTTTCCACTGGAGCGTGTGACTTCCCAGCTGGGAGCAGCCGGGCGGCACACACCTGTGCATGGGCCTGGGCAGCAGAAGGTCAGGGCACAGGGTGCAGGGGCCTGAACCACGCTCTCCACCGCTGTGTCCCCTGCAGAGGTTTGCGTTGTCAAGTTAGCAGGTCTCTTTCCAGGAACGGAATGTTCGATTGCACGTGGGAATTTGTGCAGCCTGCCTTTGTGGAAAGCCTCCAGCTGGCTGGGGGAGGGGGCGAGGAGGAGGGAAGTGGCAGGACTAACCCTCCTCTGGCCTCCTGGGGCTTTCCGCACTCCCACCCACGACTGCAGGTCCCTGTCATGAGATGATATTGCGGTGTGAGCACCAGGCCCAACTCACCGCTTGGTCCTGCTGTGTGACATGGGAGCAGTTCCTTAACCTCTCTGAGCCTATCATTGTTTTCTCTGTAAAATGGAGTTTGTAATTGGACCCACCTCAGAGGGCTGTGCCAGGTGCTTAGCCTGGGACCTGGAATAGAGTTAGTGCTCGGTTAAATGGTAGTTAATCCTATTAGCCTAGATCAGCGGTTCTCAACCTGTGGGTCGTGACCCCTTTGGGGGGGTCAAATGACCCTTTCACAGGGGTCGCCTAAGACCATCGGAAAACACATCTATAATTACATATTGTCTTTGTGATTAATCACTATGCTTTAATTATGTTCAATTTGTAACAATGAAACTGGGGGTCACCACAACATGAGGAGCTGTATTAAGGGGTCGCGGCGTTAGGAAGGTTGAGAACCGCTGGCCTAGAGGGTTTGGTGGCACCAGCTAAGCCTCCTTTCTCAGACACCCCCACCGGAGCAGTGCCTCGTCCTCTTCCATTCTGACCCCAAAGAGCCCACATGGGGGACTCAGCATTCTGCGGGCCACGGCTCCCCTTTCCTTGGGCAGCCCTCACTCATTCTGGAGGCTGCAGAGACAGAGCCGTTCATCAGCTGACCCTACTCTCCCTCTCACAGCGCCCTGCCCCCCACCTCTGCGACATCCTGCCCAGCTGTCCCCTCGAACCTTCTGTGGTGATGACAATATTCTGTCTGCACCGCCCACTGTGACAGCCACCAGCCACACACATGTAGCTGCCGATACCCGAAATGCGGCTCGTGTAACTGAGAAGCTGGTGTTTAATAGCGTTTGATTGTAATGAATTGGAATAGCCCCTTGTGGCTGGCTGGGACAGACGTAGAAACGGATGAGGGACAGGCGGCAGGGAAAAACCCGAGGCCGGGGCAGAATCAGGCCTAAGCCAGTCCACCACTCCCCCTTCCGGCCTCAGTGTCCCCGTCTGCCTGCCAGCGCTGCGTGGTGCCCTCTCAGCTGCAGGACCTGTCCTGGGACCTGAGCTGAAACAGGTGGATGACCTGCCGCCGGTGCGAGGGAAGCCGCACGGATCCGGGGGTGAGCAGGGC